CACAGATCCAGCTTCCACAGCTCTAGGAACCCCTGCAGGAAGTGATAGGAGGAGACTCCCAACCACAGATCCAGACCCCACAGTGACACAATGACACTAACAGAGGAAGAAATGAAGAGCAAATTGTTCTCATCCGAAAGGAAACAACAGTCAAAGTCAGCTCCAGACACTGAACAGACAGAGGGCGCTGCGGATGGCACACGTGCGCGTTCTCGTGCGCGTTCCCGTGCACGTTCACGTGCACGTTCCCGTGCACGCTCCCGTACCGGATCTGCATGCCCCGGCTCCAGCTGCACACGTCCTTCCTGAGCAGCAGGTTGTTGAGGGCCCCGGCGCAGATGAGGTGGCTGATTCTCCTGAAGGCCTGCTCCGGCAGCCCGGGGGGCAGCAGCTGCCGGCTGAGGGCGGCGTGCAGCGCCCCCAGCTCCCTCAGCACCGCCGCCATGGTGGGGGGGGCCTCCCCCCCCCCCGCCGGGGGGCGGGGCTCCGAGCCCGCCCGCTTCCTGGACGCGCCCAGCTTCACCCCCCCGGAGCCCGACAACCCCGCGATGGTCTCGCTCTCCAGCAGGGCCGGGACTGAGGAGGGAGGGGTCAAAGGTCAGGGGTCAGGGGACACACCAGGGGGGGGGTGCTTAGAGATAGGGTTGTCACGATACTAAAATTTTCAACTCAAAACCGATACTCAGGAAAATACTCGATACTCGACACCATTTTCGATACCACAAGGATAAAAACAAAGACCCCAAAATTTAACTGAATTGTGTCTTTCATTTTAAACTGACCTGTTACTGATGTTATCGTGACTGGTGGCCCACATTAATGACCCTAACCCTAACCCTAACCCTAACCCTAACCCTAACCCTAACCCTCCAGCCTTCATAATTGTGAGAAATAAATATTTTTTGGTTAAACTCGTTTGGACTTATTGTACAAACCGATTTAATATACACTATTTTAGAGTTTTATTAAGTGTTTGAAAGATTCATTTAACTATTTTTAAATTAATGTCTATATTGCCATGAGGCAATTAGGATTTTCTTGCCTGGGATCTTCCTATTGGTGACCTAATCAAAATGGCCGACTTGGATGTGGGCGGAGTTGGAAATGTACTTGATTGGTAGCATGTTATTATTAGCCATTAGCCGCAGCTAGCAAGGCTAACGTCTTGTTAATGATCATAAACAACGTAGATAAATACATAGATAAATCATCGATACTTTTGAAAATGAGTATCGTATCCGGATACAACATTTTAGTATAGATACTTTTTCGAGTATCGATACTTTTGACAACCCTACTTAGAGGTACCTATGATGTTCTGGAGGCGGGTCTCGGTGATGGACAGCAGCTGCTGGTAGGCCTGGATGCAGAGGTCACTCAGGGAGCGGATGCAGTCGCTCAGGTCCACAGTCAGAGGAACCCGACCGTCCGGGTCAGGAGTCTGAAAAGAAAAAACCCCGTCAGTGACACCAACAACTCCCGGAAACCCGAATAAACGAGAGGCCTGGTACCCGTTTCGGGGAGTGCTGGGCCAACAGGTCGTGCAGCAGCCAGACGTTCTTCAGCCACAGGGCCGTCATGTCCACGTCGCCCGCATGTTTCTGCAGGAAAAGTGGAGAACAGACGGATGTTCACACAGAATAAAAGCACGATGTGTGTTAGAATTTGGCTAAAATTACTCCTTTAGGCATAGTATGCTATAACATAATCTATGTTAATTACTGACTGTCTTATTCTTTGTAGAATTTTACTTTTTGTTTAAGTCTCTGGCTGTGACCAAAGACTCTCCTTTTCTCTCTTTTTCTTTCTTTGATCCACACCTTTAGGTCAACACAAACACACACCATTTGTTTCCACATTCCTGTCATCTGCATGAATTAGGACCTGGCCTGTTCCTGCCCAGAGGTAACTGGCCAATAGGACTTGGTTGTGTCCAGTCCTCCTTTGAGGAGGCGGATCGAGCCAAGGAGATAATGCCCATCACCCAGATCTCAGGGCTCTTTGCCCACTGAGACCCAGAGAGAGGTTTTTGTCTGTTAGAGCCCAGCTGATACACTTAACTGTGTCCAATAAATGTTATTTTTCTACTTTTGGTCTACCCTGGTATATTCTCAGGTTTCTAACAAAAGAATCGGGTTAACATGTGGCAGATCTTAAAGGAACAGCATGTCAGCTATCTGTATGCCCGGTATGAGCTGTTTTTGTGGCGCCCGGGGAGGGGTCAGAACTGGGGTCACCTTCAGAGCCGCCTTCATGGCGGCCACGGCGGCGCTGCAGAGCGAGCGAGCGCGGGTTTGTTCCCCGCTGCAGTCCGCCTGACGGACGCAGAGGAACACGACGCTGGCGGCCAGACCAGGAGGCAGGGACAGAGCGCCGTCCACCCGGAGGTCTGAAAGGAGGCCCACAAGGCCGAGTCCCATGTGTTAGTAACAGCTCCTGAGAGTCCTAGATAGCTAGAATGATAGCTAGCTAAAATGATAGATAGCTAGATAGATAGCTAGAATGATAGCTAGCTAGATAGATAGCTAGAATGATAGCTAGAATGATAGATAGCTAGATAGATAGATAGAATGATAGATAGGTAGATAGATAGAAAGATAGCTAGATAGATAGCTAGAATGGTTGCTAGATAGATAGATAGCTAGAATGGTTGCTAGATAGATAGATAGCTAGATAGATAGCTAGAATGGTTGCTAGATAGTTAGAATGGTTGCTAGATAGCTAGATAGATACATAGATAGATAGATAGATAGATAGATAGATAGATAGATAGATAGATAGACTAACCTGTGATGAGGTTCTTCAGGAGCTTGGATTCGTCTTTTTTCCGACACTCCAGCAAACCTGCAACGGCTGCCGCCTTTGGCTGATGTGGACAGGAAGCCTCGGAGCTCAGAGCTGCTGGGAAGACCAGGAAGACTAAAAAACCCGGACCTGCAGGAGCAGCCTGAGCTCGCTGGAGACCCACCTCTGCTCAGGAGGCGCCGGAGCGAGGCGGCGGGTCTCAGCTCGGTCAGCTCCCTCCTCAGCCGCTCACACTCCTTTTCCCGGGCCTCCAGCAGCTCCTGCAGGAAACACGGAGCTCCGAACTCAGCCTCATACTGCAGCTCTCAGCAAGCTTTGTGAACCTCCAGGTTTAGCAATTAACATTCAGAACTTATATTCATGGTTTTGTTGTCTCTCTTTCCTTTTTTTTTTTCTCTCCTCTCTTCCTGTTTTAGGAATCTATTTCTTTTTTCCCCTCTCCTGTCCCCCGGTCATGGTTGGCATTAGCCATATTACTTATGTAACAAAAATAAATCCTAAATATATAATAAAGCAGTATGGGATGATCAAGGGAGGGTTCTCACCCTGACAGGCCTCCCTTGGCAAAGCAAAAGTGTCGGGCACAGCACGGCACTCAGATTACAATTGTGTTGCTATAATGCCAAACACGACAAGGGAAAAAAAAGAACTTATATTCATATATTATCCAAAGCGACTTACAGGGTAGAGAGGAGCTGCATAAGCCGGGAAACGAACCCAGGTCAACTGCTTGGAAGGCAGCTATGCTAACCACTACACCACCACTCCTCCTAACTTAGAACTCAGCTGCCCTGGTGTGCTTTTTTTTAAGCGAGGCCATTTTGAAAACGCTAGCAAAAAACCTGCACCTGCGTCTGTGCATCGGGGGAAGAGGCGGCCACGGCCCGGCCCAGCTGGCCCCTCAGGGCCTCCAGCTCCTCCTCCCACTGGACCTGCTGCGTCCGCAGCTGGTTCTCCAGAAACCTTCGTTCACACGGACAGACGAGACCGGGAGGACCGCTGAGAGCCGATCAGAAGGCCTGACGCGGTCTGAGTGGGGTCGGGGTTGGCGGACTCACCTGTTGGCCACCCGTACGGCATCATAAGCAAAGGCCAGGTCCTCTCCTCTCATCTTCACCGCCGGCTCTTTGGCCACGTCCAGCCTCTCCATCAGCTGCTCCTATGGAAGCAAACAGGATGAGCTTTGACGCCGCTGGCTTCAGATTCCTGGTGCTGACAGGAGCTCCTGGTTGGTAATAAAGGTGTTTTTAACGCTGTTATGTGTTATGTATAGGTTAGGGTTGGGGGGAGAGGGGGGGGTTGGGGTTAAAGTGTGTCATTTTAACAGTGGTGGACCGGGGATTTCACACCAAGGCCTTCAGTAGTGCTCCATCAATTCACCCCTCAATACCTATTGTACGTTTATAGAACTCTTCTCATTATTTAGAAAAGATCAAGGGTGCACAAGTCTTCTACTACTGTAGCTACAGCTGCGATAAACTCTCCCCCCCCCTCCCCCCAAACAAAACCTCAAAAATATCCTCATAAACTCATAATATTATTTAGGAAAAACCCATTCAGAGTTGTCCGAACTTTCTTAACAATGTCCATCTTTTTTTGAAAAGTCCATCTTGAAATTGGTCTTGACAGTAAATCTGCCACCAAATCAATTTCTTCTCCTCCTTCAGCCATTTTGGGGGGATAAAATAGCTATTACACCAACAACTATATTTCGGTTTGTTTGCTAGCTTTGGCTGGTACGCTATCTGACTGTCCAATCAACGGGTGATGTTGCCTTAGGCTTTCTAGAAGGCCCTGGTGTAACAAACTTAGTGGGGGGGGGGGTTCAAAATGCTTCTTTTAGTATTTTGGGTTTTAGAGTGTGGAATGTGTTCAAAGAGATATTTTAGTGCTGATGTGTGTGGGTGGGTTGGGGTGAGGATGGTGGGGGTTGGTAGTAAAAATTGTGTTTTTAGTGCTTTTAGTGCTTTAATGTGTGTGGATGGGTTGGTGGTTAATGCAAAATATGTGACTTTACCATCGACGTTTCCGGGGCCCTCCTCTCCACGCAGGGAGACGTCACGCTGACCCGGCGCTGCTCCTCTGGGGACGGGAAAGCGGATGCAAAGGGGGAGGATACCGGCGACAGAGGGGGGGGGGACAGCGGCTCCAGGCTCTGGGCGGAATCACTCCTCCTGTGGCCCCTGGCGCTCTGCACAGCAAAGAGGGGAAGACATGCAGCAAACGGGACTCGTTTTAAAGGCGTTTTAAAGGCGTTTTAAAGGCGTTTTTCAGGCGTTTTTCAGGGGGGCTCGGTAACCTCGGTGAGCAGGCTCATCTCCCTCAGGTTGTCGTATCTCTGCTCCAGTCTGGAGAAGTCCCTCAGGAGTCCCTGATACTTGGTCTTCTCCTCGTCCAGCTGGGCCTGGAGAGCCACGTTCGCCTGGGAGACAGCCTGATGCACGCTGTCTGTGGTAACCCAGAGGAGGAAAAAGGAGCGGTCAGGGATCCAAAACGCCAGAGGGATGAAATACAGTGGGGGAAATAAGTATTTGACCCCTTGCTGATTTTGCAGGTTTGCCCACTTACAAAGAATGTAACGATCTATAACTTTAATCATATGTAAATTCTAACAGTGAAAGACAGAATCCCAAAGAAAATCACATCATATGAATTTATAAAAAATCCTAACCATCTGATGAGGAAAAATAAGCATTCTTTGTAAGTGGGCAAACCTGCAAAATCAGCAAGGGGTCAAATACTTATTTCCCCCACTGTACATCTGAAGGCAAAGTGGAGGCCGACCTTCCTGCGTTCTTTCTTGTTCGCACAAGCGAGCAGTGAGATCCTCTTTCTCTTTGCAAACATCGTCCTTCTCCTTCTTCAGGATCTCCAACTCCTTAAAAATAAAAAAACACACACCAGATCGGCTGTTCAAATCTGGTCAGACTTGGATCCCCGGAGGCAGAAGGATGCTCTGTGAGTGTCCGGTTGCCTGTTTGAGTCGGAGGACTTCCTGCGCGGCCTTCTCCTCCGCTCTCCTCCTTTCCTCCACCTCCTTCTCGCTGATGACTGGACCGGCCGGGGGCTTCTCCGGCCTCTGGCTCTCCAGTTTGAGTATGATGGCCCTCAGGGCTTCCCTCTCGGCGGCTGCAGCCTCGCGCTCCGCGTTCAGGGTCTCCCTCAGAGCAGAGCCCTCCCTCGCCTGGACCAAAAAAAAACAGAAAAACTCCCGGTGAGGAACCAGTAGGGTTGTCAAAAGTATCGATAACTCAAAAAAGTTGATACTAAAATGTTGTATCCAGATACGATATTCATTTTCAAAAGTATCGATACCACCGTGCGACGCCTTCTCTCTGATTTATTTATGTATTTATTTACGTTGTTTATGATCATTAACAAGACGTTAGCCTTTCCTAGCTGCGGCTAATGGCTAATAATAACACGCCAACATTAATCAAGTACATATCCAACTCCCCCACATCCAAGTCGGCCATTTTGATTAGGTCACCAATAGGAAAATCCCAGGCAAGAAAATCATAATTGCTTCATGGCAATATAGACATTAATTAAAAAATAGTTAAATGAATCTTTCACACTTAATTAAACTCCATACATATTATGTTAAAATAGTGTATATTAAATAAGTTTGTACAATAAGTCCGAACAAGTTTAACCAAAGAATATTTATTTCTCACTATTATGAAGGCTGTAGGGTTAGGGTTAGGGTCGGTGTTAAGGTTAGGGTTCGGGTCATTAATGTGGGCCTCCAGTCACGATAACATCAGTAACAGGTCAGTTTGAAATGAAAGACACAATTCAGTTCAATTTTGGGGTCTTTGTTTTTATCCATGTGGTATCGAAAATGGTATCGAGTATCGAGTATTTTCCTGAGTATCGGTACCGAGTTGAACATTTCAGTATCGTGACAACCCGAGGAACCAGGGAAGGCCTCCACCCACCTCCTGGTCGGCTCTCATCTGGAGCTGCATCAGCTTGACCTCCATTCCCCGGTTGAGCTGCCGGTATTTCTCCACCGATCGGGCCTCGCTCTTCAGCCGCAGCAGCTGCCTCCTCGCCGCCCGCCGCCGCACGCAGCACTGCAGGAAAACCACGGCCGCCCTCAGCCGCCGGTACCCCCGGCGGGCCAGCCAGCCCCGGGCCCCCGCCTGCAGCCGTACGGCCGCCCGGTGGGCCACCAACTGTGGAGGAGAAGCAGGACGAGATCAGAGTCTGGATGCGTGCGTTTGGTCTTTCTTTTCTTTAACCTTTATTTCAGTGTTTTTCCACCTTTTTTGAGTTTTGGTTTTCGCATTCCCAATGGACTGCAGGCAAAGTAAAGAAGCTGGTTTTGGTTTGGACTGCCTCCAACATGAGGGGGGGAGTGGAAGACTTGGTATTTAACCAGGAAGTCTCATTGAGATTCAGAATCTCTTTTTCAAGAGAGACCTGGCCAAGGTAGCAGCCAAACCACCAAAAAAATCATACATATTACATTTTACATAATAAAATCTGAGCAATATGTTAAAACACATTGAGCATCTCAAGAAAAACAAGCACATATCTCCATCACTACACTCTTCATGGTTGCTTTAAATTCATTAATGGACACTAGAGTTTTTAATTTGAGCTCTTTCTGGAGGTTATTCCAACCGCAAGGTGCAGAGTAGGAAAAGGCAGTTTTTCCCAACTCAGTTGAAGCCCGGGGTACATTAAAAAGTAACCACTGAGAGGAGCGCAACTGATAACTACCGGAACTCACAGAGAGGAGGTTACAGAGGTACAGTGGGAGGGTCTTTTGAGAGCAAGAAGAAACCTCTGTAGTTCGGGAAAAACTGAACTCTGACCTGTCTGTGTCTGCGGCGGGCCAGCGCCCCCCTGGAGAACGCCTGGATGGTGAGGGTGGCCTGCCGGATGGTGAGAAACAGCTGTCTGACCACGGCCATTCGGTAGCTCTTCTGGATGACCAAGGCGGCCTTAGTGTGGCGCAGCGTCAGCGCCAGCCTGCCGCACAATCAAAGTCACTTCCAAACACACTGAAACTTCCCTTTAGATGTTATTTCACAGGTCTGATGTGGTGATGCTGCATTCAACATGAGCTTTTTTTAAAAACAACAATCACATGTTTAACTCATTGGCTGCCAAAGACGTCTATAGACGTCTTTTATGTTTTTCAACGCGAGTGGCTTGGGGGACGATCTGCTAAAGCTTGTCCGTAAATATCAGGCTTCTAGAAAGAGTATGTAGTAACAAATTGAGCCTCTAGGGGGCAGTGCCACTTTTGATGGGAGATGAGCATAGACTGTAGGCAAATAAGAAAAAGTTAACGGTTCGCTATGAGAGAACATGTCGCCGGTGAGACGCAAGTCGAGGAAGAACGGAATAAGGTAGAAACAATTTTTTATTCCTGGTGAAAGAAGAGAGTCTACTCTTTCTTTTGGTGTGTTCGGTGTTTACATAGTCACAGCACAAACTATTCTGTAGCTTTTGAAAAATCAGTCAAAATGCTCAAAAAACTCTGGCAGTCAATGAGTTAAACAACTGATTTGCTTCGTTTTGCAAAACTGTGGATAAAATATTGATTTGAAATCAACTTTCACCCAGAAACAAATCTTATTTAACTGTGTTTATACAAGTAGTATAGAAGACACTTTTTTCTAGTTTCCGATTCTAGTCGTTCCCAGTTGGAGTGTACCAATCACTAACACAGATCAAAGCACAGACAGAAAGATGGTTTCAAGTCATATCTGCCCTCACCGCCTGGCCAGGGTTCCTCTGCTGTATCTCTGTATGGTGGCGGCGGCCCAGAGGATCCTGGCGTACCGGATCCGGGCCAGCCATCCTCTGACCCGGCTTTGGATGAGCGCAGCGGCCCCCCGCAGCCGGTCGGCCCTCAGCCTCTCCAGGAGAGCCACCTGACCCGCCCGGAAGAAGACCTTGGTCTTCCCGAAGCAGTACTGGTCCTGGTCGGGGATGAGGAGGGGCAGGGCCTGCCTGCACAAAGCCTGATCCGGCCGCTGGGCCCCCGCCCCCCCCACCAGGACCCGGTACCGGCTGAAGAACTCCTCGTACGTCCATCTGGAGTCGTGAAAAAGATGGTGCACACTTATTGTAGAGGCATGGATGTGTTTAGCTCTGGACAACAGAGGGAGTGAGTGTGTTTGGATATATGTCTGTGTGTGTGTGTGGCTAAGTTTGGATGATGGCCTGATAATTATCACCTGTGTCTGCCCATGGATTTTGTCTTTTGTTTGTGATAGAGAGGGGTTGACATGGGGGCCGATATTTTCTGTTGACCGCAAAGTAACCGCAAAGTAACAAATCAATAGCCAAAGTATCTTTATATTCAATATACAATCTTTTCAACGTGTATTATGCAAGAAGAAGAAAAAAATAAACACCCTTCAACCAGCATTGGAGCCAAGTTTCATCATTAGAGTCAGTGAGTCAAACAGAGCCCTACGTCCTTCCCTCAGTGACTAATTTGGAGTGCGATAGTCACCCTACACTGATCATGTTAAATATGAAACTGGAGGTGTGTCTCTTACCGGGATGGATAGCCGGCAGCGCTGATGCGGATGGTCTCCAGGACGCCGCAGGCTCTCAGCTGCTGGACCGTCCTCTTGGGATCGAACCTTAGAACAAGAGGACGTGAGTTACTGTTGAGCTGGGCTGTTGAGGGGGAGCACAATGAAAAGTATATCTTTCTGAATGCCCTGTGGCTTCTTCTTGGACTTCTTCTTCTTCGTCGTATTTTTCTTCTTCATCTTCCTCTTGTTCTTCTACTTCTTCATTTTCTTCTTCGTCTTCCTCTTGTTCCTCTTCTTGTTCTTCTTCATTTTCTTCTTCGTCTTATTCTTCTGTGGTTTACTGGAGTCCGGGGGAAGCAGGACCTTTCCACTAGAGTGATCTGGGTTGGAGTCCCGGGGGAACCAGGACCAGAGGGTTCTGGGTTGGAGTCCCGGGGGAACCAGGACCTTTCTGGGTGGAGTCTGCATGTTCTCCTGTGTCTGTGGGTTCTCTCCGGGTTCTCGGGCTTCCTCCCACCATCCAAATACCTGCATGTTAAGTTGGTTGGACTCCAAACTGCCCTTAGGAATAAATGTGAGTGTGTGTGGTTGTTGTGTGTCTCTGTGTGGCCCTGCGATGGACTGGCTGACCGTCCAGGGTGACCCCCCTCTCGCCCACTGACCACTGGGATAGGCACCAGTTCTCCCTGCGACCCCATTAGGGAATAAGTGGTAACGATAATGGTCGGATGGATGGATGGATGGATGGGATTTAGTTTGAGGGTCAGAGCATTTATCTGAGCAGTTCTGGCCCCTGCCTGGAACCTGCTGTTTTCACGCACAGGTACATATGGGTGGGGACTCACATGAACGGCTCCTTCAGGTCGTTGGGCTTGATGCAGCGGACGTAGTGGGGGGTGGTGCTGTTGAGGGTGTCCATCAGCATCTGCAGGGACTGACGGAACTGGGGGGGCAGAGACGGCCGTGAGGCTTCACCGAACAGCAGTCCGACCACAGGGCGGGACGAGGTCTCACCTGGAACCCGACGGTCAGCCTGTGCTCTCTGGGGGCCCGCCTCCCCGAGCGGACGCTCCCATTGGCCGGCCCGTTCCCCTGCTGCTGGAACAGCTCGGCCACCAGCTCCGACTGACCACACAGGCACAGCTCACCTCACGCAAAAGCAGACACGACCCCGGAGGGGTTCCTGGGCTTTGGGCGCCTACCTGACTGGCTCTGAGGATGTTGATGAGCTCCTCGAACACCGTGTCTCGGTTCTTGTCCAGAAAGCCTCCGCACTCGTACTGGACCTGATTGGAGAGAGAGAGGCTTTCGGGGTCAGGCCGGGCGTGGTCAGGCCCAGAGGTGAGGGGGGGGTGGTCGCTCACCGTGTCGGCGAAGTGCAGGACGATGAAGGCGCTGTTGGACATGCGCGGCTTTCGGAGGTGCGGGTGGGGGCTGCTGCCCAGGTGCTGGTCGTACAGCTTACGCACCCAGCTGTCGTCGGAGCCTTTGGGCATCTGGACCGGTCAGAACGAAGTTTTAGTTTTAGTTTGGTTGGGGGGAAATGGGTGAGAGGAGGAGAGACGGGGGGACTGTTAGAATTTGGCTAGAATTACTCACTTTGGCATTGTATGCTATCACATGATCCATATAAATTACTGATTGTTTTATTTTCTTTTATAACTATATTTTGTTCTTTTTGTTTTTATATTGTTGTTATATTTCTCCTCTCTCTTTTCCTTTCTCTGTTGCATTAGATCCATGTCTTTAAGTCAACACGAACACACACCATTTGTTACCACATTCCTGTCATCTGCATGAATTAGGACCTGGCCTGTTCGTGCCCAGAGGTAACTGGCCAATAGGACTTGGTTGTGTCCAGTCCTCCTTTGAGGAGGCGGATGGAGCCCAGGAGATAATGCCCATCACCCAGATCTCAGGGCTCTTTGCCCACTGAGACCCAGAGAGAGGTTTTTGTCTGTTAGAGCCCAGCTGATACGCTTAACTGTGTCCAATAAATGTCATTTTGGAACTTTTGGTCTACTCTGGTATATTCTCAGGTTTCCAACTAAAGAATCGGGTTAACAGGACGCACCCGGCACTCCTCGTCCAGCAGGTCAAACATGCCCAGCTGGCCCTCTATGAGCGAGATGCACTGCTGGTTGTCGCTGAACTCGATCCGGTTCCAGGCCAGCTCCTCCCGGACGTACTCCTCCTGCTCCAGCTGGAACACGTGCTTCAGGCAAACACAGAACACGGGTTTTAGCGTTTAAACCCGGCACAGAATCAAACGCATCTGGATCTGTGCGGCACTTTGTGTTAGCTTTTTCTGCCTCTGAGCAAAAGAAAGGCCAACGTCATGCCTCCAAATCTCGAGGCCTGTGGTCCATGAAGGCTTGTACCTCTAAAGGTAGCAAACATTCAGATGATGTGGAGACTCCTCCTCACTGACTGGTTGTTCTCATATGATTTGTTCTTTAAGAAATGTCATTCTTACTTTTTTTTAAAAATCCGAATCACACAAATAATCATGCAGCTGCATATTACCGTGTACTTTTCTCTGTATGATGAATGTCAGTCTAGCAGTTCAAAAGTAATTAGATATTTCTGAAGATGCCTCAAATTGAGGTGGAAACCTCAATAAACTTTGGGAACCTCAACAAATATGAACAAAACAGCCCAAAACCCGAATACCACCCTGAGCACAAACCTTTTTTCCATAGGCGGAGGGAAGAACTCACCCTGTTAAACTGCTGCTGGAGTTTTTCGTTGGCATAATTTATGCAGAACTGCTCAAAACTGTTCCGCTCAAACGTCTCAAACCTGCCCCGGAGACACAAGTCAATCAGAAAAAAAATACCTTACAAAACACAAAACACCGCCGACCATCAGCAAGTGCTCACCCGTAGATGTCCAGCACCCCTATGAAGGACTTGGCCTTGCCCCCCTGAGTGCGCAGGGCGGAGTTGAGCCTCTGGACGGTCCAGGTGAACAGCTGGCCGTAGATGTGTTTGGCCAGCGCGTCTCTGGCCTCCAGGGCCTGTTGACCGGTGGTGGGCTTCACCAGCATCTCCCCCCCCACGGCCAGCCGGCGGTGGCAGAGCCAGGGGGGCCTTTTGGGCCCCCCCCCCCCCCGCAGGTTTGAGGGGGGGGCCAGAGAGGGGGGTGCCCCCCCGGGGGGGGGGGGGGGCGGCGTCAACTCGGATTTAAACCTGGCGTCTAAACTCTAATAAATAACAATATAATACATTTTATCTTTAAAAAGCACCTTTCATGCCACTCATGGACTCTTTACAAAGACAATCGTCATTAAAACAACATTGAGACATAAGAAAACATCCAAAGTCATAAAGACAAACATAAAAAATGAAAAAAGTGGAGTGAATAAAACTGTGCAAAATTAGGGAAATGTTAGAGTTAGGGGTGGTGAGGTAGGTAAGAAATTTTAAACAGGTGGGTTTTGAGTTTTGTTTTGAAAAGAGGGAGAGAGTCGATATTTCGGATGTCAGATGGCAAAGAGATCCAGAGTCAGGAAGCAGAGCGACTGAAGGCTCTGCCCCCCCCCATGGTGCTGGGTTAGGGTTAGGGGTTGGGGTTAGGGGTGAGGGTTAGGGTTGCCCCCCATGGTGTTGAGGTTAGGGTTAGGGTTAGGGTTTAGGTATTAGGGGTTAGGGTTAGGGTTAGGGTTACGGGTTGCCCCCCATGGTGCTGAGGTGAGGGTCAGGGTTAGGGTTAAGGTATTAGGGGTTAGGGTTAGGGTTCGGGTTACGGTTTGCCCCCCATGGTGCTGAGGTTAGGGGTTAGGGGCAAGGCTGTGGACAGCTTTGAAGGTGTATAGAAGGATTTTGAATTGGATTCTTAGGGTGACTGGGAGCCAGGGGAGTGGCTGTAAGATGGGGTCGATATGGTTGGAAGCAGAGTTTTGGACTCGGTTTTAAACTCAGTTTTAAAGCCAGAAGGGAAAGCAGAAACTGGTTTACGTCGATGTAACTCCGCTCAGAGCTCCTCCCGCTGGCCCGGATGTTCACGTTTCCCAGATGCAGAACGGCCGACAGGATCCTGAAAAGCTCCATCTGCTGGTCGGGCGGCACGCCTACGATTCCCAGCATTCAGAGTAAAGACAAGTCGCGTATACAGTGGGGGAAATAAGCATTTGACCCCTTGCTGATTTTGCAGGTTTGCCCACTTACAAAGAATGCAACGATCTATAACTTTAATCATATGTACATTCTAACAGTGAAAGACAGAATCCCAAAGAAAATTCCAGAAAATCACATCATATGAATTTATAAAAATTGATAACCATCTGATGAGGAAAAATCAGCATTCTTTGTAAGTGGGCAAACCTGCAAAATCAGCAAGGGGTCAAATACTTATTTCCCCCACTGTATATATTCTCCTCTGCTTTTCCCTGGGTGTCCCGGGGGGGTCTGGACTTACCCAGAACGGTCAGAGCAGAGCGGGTGCGCTCCAGGTCGGCCTGGTCGTCGGCCCCGGGTATCCGGGTCTCTCCGCCCTGGTTGGTGTAGCGGAAACGCTCCGGCGCATCTGGGAACCAGAGAGAACCACGTCAGCACCAGCAACCGGGGCCTTTTCAGACCTTCGGTCCTTTTATTTAGAACAGTGTTTTTCAACCACTGTGCCTCGCCA